ATCCCGACGTGCTAATTAATATTTAAAGATTAATAATCACATTAACAATCATTGTCAGACTTTAAATTTTTAATTGTCATGTCGTGTGATGCCAGTATTATGACTTGTCGAGATTTGGGATGTCGGGATTTTGTGGTAAAACCAACAAATCTACACGAATAGATGCAAATGCTCGAGATCATATGATAGTCTATTCGAATTAGTAGACAAAATAACAAAATTTATATATTAAATTTACCGTGGTCTTGACATTTTTTTGCCACGGCTATACTACTTCTACTTTACACGAATTTAAAAAAATTTAATGATCTTAACTTCGCAAGTAAATTAACGGATGGTGAGGCTGTTATTAAACCTCTAGAAACTCCGAATCAGATATTATCTTATTACACTGGATCAATTAATTCATAAATTTCATAAATTTATACATTTCATACATTTATTTGTTTTATTGCAATTATTCATTTCCTAGAATGTAGCTCCGTACGTGAATGTGTACGAAAAACTTGACAATTAGTAATAATAATGCTTCTTTCATATTAATATCTCACAAGGTAACTTAAAAGTTAATTAAAAGTCGCCAATTTTAGGATGTAAGTAATTGAAATTAATAAGATTTAATGTTTCTCTTAGCTTATTGGTTCATCATTGTGTCACGAATAATATAATGAAGATTTTTAACTTAATATTAGTTTATTACGTGCCGTTAATACAAATCTTGCATTTATAATAATTAACCTTAAATATTAAACTCTTAAAAACATTTTTTTGAAAAGAATATCTTCGATAACTTTTAAACAATGTCATCGAAAAAAGATTGGTTCATTGAGGCTATTAAGAAAGGATTTATTAAATCATTTGATTATACTTCATTTGAAGCTTTTAAGCCAATTGCTAAAGGTGGATTTGGCATTGTATCTAAAGCTTATCTTAAAGATGCTGATAAAGTTGTTGCTTTAAAATGCTTGTATGATGGACCTACTAAAGATAACGAAGAATCTTTTGATGGCTTCATTAGAGAAGTATAAATCTTTATCTTTATAATTATTTCGATCAATTTTAATTATTCTCTTTTCTTTTCGTAATATCTTACTGTAATTTGTCTCTGTCTCATTAAGGTTAGAAACATTGCTAAAGTTGATTATCATGATAATATAATTCGGTTTATCGGAATCACTCAAGGTATCCTTTCTTCATATTGTAATAAATTTATTAAATTTCTAATTTATAAACTTATTAAGACACTAGAAATGAAACTTACTATATGGTTCTTCAATTCGCAAACAACGGTGATCTTCGTTCTTATCTGCATACTCGTTTTTCCGAATTGGATTGGCCAGCAAAGATCGAAATGGCAAAAGAAATTGCCAGTGGTGTTAATTGTTTACATAATGCTGATATTGTTCATAGAGATCTTGTAAGTTTATTTATTAATTTTTCTCTATTTATTTATTCTATTATTTATACACTTGTTGACATGTAAATTTATTTTTAGCATGATAGAAATATATTGGTACATGATGATAAATTGATAATTACTGACTTTGGTTTATCTAAAACTGCTGAAAACAGCTCCCAATATATCCCTGGTGGAACATGCGCTTACTCTGATCCACAATATCTACAAAATATATTCTCCTATAAAAGAGGACATATTCTGATATTTATAGTCTCGGTGTGCTTTTTTGGGAACTGTCAAGTGGTGTTCCTCCATTCAAAGATATTTCTGATCATAGAGACATAAGCTTAAGAGTAATTAAAGGTGAAAGAGAGACTCCAATTGATGGAACTCCAATTGATTTTGTGAATCTTTATTGTGCTGCTTGGGACGCTGAACCAAATAACCGTCCCAACACAAATGAAATCCGTGATAAGCTAAAAGACATAAACTTATCCCCAATCTATCATAATCATCCTACTCCTTCAGGTAGTTCATTAGGTGGTTCATTAGGTTGTTATGATTTAATTGCAAGTCGTTGATAAATTTAATTAAAGTTTTAAAATTATTTAAACAATTATTAGTAATGGTTTCAAGACTAGATGATAATGAAAATGATGGCCTAGATATTCATGATCGTCGCATTTATACTTCGTCGCAACAATTATATTCGATAGGTTTTTCTAAATCTTATTATCACATAATTTACATTCCATTCTTTTACAAATTTATAATTTCTAAATCATAACAATATATTTTTAGTACAAAGATTTCAGCAATTGAATGTTGTGGATCAAGATAGTCCTAATGTTGATGAATCAAATGATCTACAAACTAATCACAATAAAGATATTGATAATGTTTCTGTCATTCAAGAATCAAATTCATCTGGTTAGTTATATATATATATACATATATTTGAATTACAATGCAATTTTTACAATTATTTTATTTTTTAATCGAAATTATTTAAAAATAAATAGAAATTCCTAATGCCAATGCTCCGGATATCTTTAATGATGGTCAAGAAGCAGATTTGATAGGTTTGTTATATAAAATTTATGTCAAAATTATTAAAATAATTGATAACCGTTTTATGTAAATAATTATTAGATATAAGCGAAACATCTTCTATTTTGACAAGTTCGAATGAAACAGGTTTGTTACATATCATTAATAAAAATTATTTAATTACGATCATATGTTCTGTATTATAACTCATAATTAATTATTAATAATTAATTATTAATAATACATAATTTACAATTAATAATTTACAGTTAATAACCAATATTTACGCCAAATCTCTGATATCGATATGAATTTAAGTAATTTACCGGAAATTAATCCAGATAATGCTGAAGAATTAAGAAATCGTGGGGAAGCTAATTATAGATCAAGAAATTATGAAAAGTCACTCACAGAATTAAATAGATCATTAGATATCGAACCAAATAACGCATTTGCATTAAGAACTCGTGGTGCAACATATTATGAACTGGGAAGATATAAAGAATCACTTGAAGATTTAAACAATTCTTTAGAAATCGATCCAAATAATCCTCTTACTTTAAGAATTCGTATTGCAACTTACAATAAATTACTCATGTATAATGAATCTCTTGTAGATTTAAACAAATTATTAGAGCTTGATCCAAATGATGTTTTTTCATTAAATAATCGTGGAAAGACTTACTACAAACTAGGAAGATATAATGAATCACTTGATGATTTAAATAAGTCTTTGGAAATTGATCCTAATAATGCTTCTACATTAAGTTGTCGTGGAAAAACTCATCGTAAAATGGGTAATCGTAATGAATCATTTACGGATTTAAATAGATCTTTAGAACTTGATCCAAATAATGCTGTCGCTTTGGAAAATCGTGGTGCTCTATACTATAAATCTAAATTGTATAATGAATCTCTTGCCGATTTTAGCAAATTATTAGACATTAATCCTTATAATCCAACTGCATTGAGGGTAGTATTTCAATTGCAAAACTTAACATTAAGAGAGTAAATTATTTAATATAAAAATTTGTGATTTTTTTTGACGAAATTTTCAAACATTAGTGATTATAACGTTATTAAATTAAGCTATGTATTTTATACTTGCAATTATAAAACTATTACATAATTTTTTATGCTCTTGAATAATGTAAATAAACTTTTGAATTATCCCTTAAACCACTTTCCAAGCAAATTTGTCTGGCAATTTCATTATTAATCTTGTGATTAAGCTAACAAATTTATTGGGTTAACCAAACTATTACATAATTTTTGTAAACATATAAACTGTTTTTTGAATTACATAAAATATATTATCAAAATATAATTTTATGAAAAAATCTATACGATGCCCCTGCATTTGTATTTTATAGCCAATTGAGAAAATTTTTAGAGTAAAAAAAAAACCACGACTCATATTTGGGTTAGGATTATGGTTGGATTAGGGTAAAATTGTGTAAGAAACATTTTTTATTATCTGTTATCTACACGTTGGGTTTAACTTAGTAAAATTCAAAGATACGTATTAGGGAGGTCATTCCATATAAAGTACCAGTTTCCTGATTTATCTGAGTATTGTCGTGCCCCTGTTTGCGGCGTAACCTATTTGTACCTTACAGTACCTTCCGGGACTGTAAAGTTTTTTGATATTCGAAGTGCGGATGAATTTTTGCAGTACCAATCAGGATTTGACCCATACTTTGTAGTAATCTAATAATTAATTTAAAGTACTTTAGAGTATTTAATAGTGAAATTAAAGTACTTACATGGTGAAAGTCAGAAAAATTTAGCATACATGGAATGTCAGAATAGAAAAGGCATTGTGAATTTGATGAACAGTTTTATGTGATTCAGTTATCTATAGTGCATCGAAACTATTCAATTATATATTCTACAATATGTTGGGACAAAGGGTTCGGATATTTACTATTAACACAATATGAACTTAGTTTGTCTAAGACAACCAGTCAAATTAATGTATTTACTTTAATAATGGTTCACTAAAGTTACTTGTAATACATAGAACCTACAGTACAATTTTTTAATTCTTATTTAATAAAGCAATGTTGTAAAATCAACTTAGCAAATATTGTATAGCAATTTAAATATTCTAAATACTAAAGCAGTTAAGTAAAGTTAAATATAAGAATTAAAAGCAAGCAAATAATTCTAATATAGAAATATTTATATAGAAGCATAATAGAGTGACTAACTAAAAAAATAATACTTAAAGATTAAGATCTTTTTTCATTTTTTTAATATTCACTCTTTTTAATTCCAATTCTGCTTCATGCTCTTCTAATTCAAGTTGTTTTTCTCAAATTGCTAAGTTTTTTTCTATTTCATCCAAGTCTGATTCAGAATTTTTTTGTAATTTATTTTTTTTAACAGCAGGTCTAGTTGTGTGTTGCTTTTCTTCTGTAGTAGAATATTTACGCTTTCTATTTTCTAAAAAATTAAATAATTCTTAATAATTATAATTATAATTATTTAAAGTATTGATATATTAAATAATAATTACGATTTCTTTTAACAGATTGAATTGCTCTTGATGCTATGCCATTATCATGATTAGTATAGGGAACTCCTGAAATATTATGTATCTCTTGTGAATGAAAAGTTCTTCGATCTTCTAAATAACCTCTAAATTATAAATAATTAAGTTAATGTTATATTTTTTTTTATAATTCGGCAATCCTGCCTCTGTTTATTTGAGATTCAAGAATTATACATTTCTATCTGTAGTTATTGTTAATCTAACCAAACTAGAGACTCACCCTCGGCTTACGCCCAGGTGTGACCTGACTCAGTAGTCCTTGGCCTCTCTCCGGATCCTTAACTCACTAAGCATTTGATCCCTTCGGTCACAGGCTGGTGACTACTCGCCTTGTCAATACTGTCATTTAAATCTGTTTTAACTTTACATCTTACCCATGAAGACCAATCTGGTTTTTTACCATCCCACACTAGGTTTTTCATGTTTTTGAATGCTACTGCTCTTGCATCTTCTTTCTTTTTGTTTTTCTGTCCTTCTGTTTATACTTGATTTTCTTTATTTTCCTCGTCTTCTTTTTTCCTTTTCTTCTTTTTCTTGTTGGCCTTTTTTATCTTCTTATCCTTCTTCGAGATTTCTTTTCTTTTTTCTCATTCTATTTGTAGCTCGCATCTAAAGTTTCAGATGTGTTGATAGAATCTCTCACCCAACTTATTAAGTGCTACACTTATTATTTTGCTAGCTGTTTTTCCGCTTTGGAGCATATTCTTTACTCTTTATTTTTGCTCTTTCTTAATTAAACTTCTAATCATGTGACTTCTCACTTTATCCATTCTGTGTTAGATATGTCAAAGATATTTTCTTTAATTGCAGCTCTAGTTGGTATTCTTTTGGCGAATTCTTCTTTCTTTATGGTTTTCACTATTTTGTCACATGTTTCTTCTTCTATTATGCTTCATATATCTTGATAGTCTTTGCAGCTTGTTAGATGGTCTATTGTTTCTGGTTTTTTTTAGCACATAATGCACTTGTTAGTCTTGTATAGATTAGGCCTTCTTGACTTGAGTTCCATCATTGTTGGCAGTACTTCATTTAAACATTTCACTCTAAATGTTCATTTATCATTTGTTTTACTATCTAAACAATTGTTACCTTTTACGCCTTCTATATATTTCCATGTTTCTCTCCAATCTAAACTATCCTTTCTTTTCTTCCCAACCTATCTTTTCATTCTACTTAATCCTGCCCATTCTGTATCTAAAATCGCTATTGTGATCTAATTTACAAAACTTCTGATAGGTTTATCCACTATTAACCCTTTCCACCTCAGTATAATATGTATTAGCTTGGTCCATGGTTGCCAAACTTCAATGATCTTGTTCGATCGTGTGCCTTCTTTTGCTAACTTTCTGCCTCTTTATTCCCTTCTATTCCGCTGTGTTCTTTCACCTTGTGTAGTTCAACCTTTAATCGTTTTTTTTCTTTTATATATTCTATTTGTTCCAAAATACTTCCATTTTTCATTTTGAGGTAACTGCATATTTTTCTTATTTCTGCTATTTTTTGAACTGCTTGAATTGCTGCTTGACTGTCTGTATATACCTTTATAGATGCTCCTTCTGGCAAGACTAACAG